CTGAAATCCCGAGAGGAGAATGGAGGAGAAAGGATTGCAGCATGGCCATCCCCCCTGGGGGGTGATTTCTCGGTTTCTGTCTCTATGTCTCTCTGTCTATCTGGCGAGTGCACGTGCCCTATAGTGAAAAACCTCTCAAAAAAAAAAAAAAGAAGAAGAAGAAGGTAGGGAGAGCCTTAGGGTGGGGCCAGGGTAGGGTGGCAGGGAGTCTGGCTGAGGGTTGTGGTCAAGGCAGCACTGACCGTGACGGTCACTGGTGGCCTCGGGCAGTGAGGTGGAGGCCAGGGAGCACAGAGGCCAGTACTGAGCAGACGGGTGGGCGGGAGGCTGGGGGCCAGGGGCTGTGGAAGCATGGGGAGCTGTGGGACCGAGGGGTTTATTTGCTTGCTGAGGAGCAGTGAAGCAGGTCTTCAAGGGGTGCAGGGCAAGGGCCACCTGTGGGTACAAGAGCAGCCTGCACTGGGGCGAGCCTGGGACCCCACGCTTGGATGGCTGGCTGTGAGGGGCCGTGTCTATGGGAGCAGCCCCTGCACATCCCTCCACCTTGAGCCTCAGCGTCCCTTAGCTCCCCCTCCTTGGATGGTCCCAGGCGGGGACACAGGGAGCTCCCCCAACCTGCCTCCTGGCAGCTTTCTTCCCTCCCATGGGAGCGTTGTCAAGGCATCTGGGCAGATGCTGGACCCACGCCCTGTTCTCTGGAGTTGCGGGAGGAGCCGCTCAGGAGTGGCTGTGGGCACTGTCTCCGCCCCTCGGCAGGGGCCCAGGTGGACGGGAGGCAGTTACTGCCCTCCGACAGGTGAGGCAATGGGAGCCAGAGGGAAGGTGACTTTCCCAAGGTCACGCAGCCTGCGGCCTTCCCCGCCCTCCCGTGTCCAGATGTGAGTTGGGCCTGGCACGCACAGCAAGGGCTGGCCACCTGGGGCGTGGCTTGGTGGAAGCTGAGTCAGGGTGGGGAGGAGGTCCCCTCACTCCCCTCACCTGTGCCCTTGTCTTGCAGAGGCTGACTCAACTCTCGCGGAGGCCTTGGCAGGATGGAAGGTATGAGGCTCTTTTCCCGCTCAGGCTGGGCCCCAGCGTGTCCAGCTGCTTAGGGGCTCCTCTGGGGGAGACATCCTGGGAGGGGTAGCAGGTGGCTTGGGGAGGTGCCAGCTCTGGCTCTTAGATTACTTCTGGAAGTGGTGGGACTTCCCTGAGGTCCTGAGGGCCCGAGCGTACTTCCTACACTGGTATTTATAGAGCTCGGTCCCTGCTGCTTTCTTGGAAGGGTGGGCGCTGGGAGGGGCAGCCTGCCCTGCAGAGAGGCCCCAGGTGTGTAAACCACCAAGCCTAAGGAGGATCCGGCGAGTCCTTGTCCTCTCTGTGACTCGGTATCCCTGTCATCCAGAGGCAGTGGGCCTTGCGGATGTCTTGGGCCCTTGGGGCTCTATAGGCTGGGACCTAGTAGAGACACACAACGGCAGAGAGCCCATGTGCTGGCAGCCCTGTCCATCCAGCCCCGGGCACGAGGCCTCGGCCTGGACAGCCCTTAAAGGAGCTCAGAGGGCCTGGCTGCCGTGGCCGCCGAAAGCCAGCGGTCACCCTTCCGTCTCCAGTTTGGAACATCAGCCACCACAGGACTGTGGGCTCCTCCCACCCTGGCGTGTGCCCTTCACGCAGGGACAGGGGCCCAGAGACATTGTTCTTTCAACAGCTCCTCGTGGCTGGGAGGGCCCCTAGGGACAGCCAAGCCCCCCTCCTCACTGCGGGAGGGACGGAGAAGCAGAGAGGGCAGGCTCTGCATTCCCAGGGCACGTGGCATGGACGTGAGGGGTGCAGCCTGGTCCTCTAGTTCCCTGAGAACAGGGGAAGCCTGAGGAGTCCAGGGAGAGGCATCTAGGCTCCCCCATCAGTTCTGATGCCCCTGGAGCAGCGTATCCACTTGGGGCTTCGGTTTCCCTCTCCCTGTGAGGCCGTGGTCGCCTTGGGCTTTAACAGTCAGCTGGAGGCGGAGGTTGGAACACAAGCTGGCCTCCCTGTCTGGGCAAGAGTTCCACGTGCCCACCGCAGCCCTCCTCCCAGGCAACCGTCTCCACGGCAACATATGTTGTGGTTGCCAAGTCCACATTAGCACTGCCAGGGGAGGCGGGCAATGGGCAGGGCCAGGGCCCAGGAGGGAAGGGCAGGCGACACGGCCGAACGGCACCATGGGCTGCTGCTCGTCCAGTGACCCCCGCACAGAGAAAGACCTGGAGGCCAGAGGTGACAGCAGGGGGTTGTTGCCTCGGCCGGTCCCTCTGCCTGGAGTGCCCATCTGCACTGACCTGCCCGGTCTCAGCTCTCACTTGCACCACGCAGGCTCTGGGCTGGGACATGCCTGTCCTTCTGCCAGGGGGCCCAGCTCAGGCCCGGGTTCCAGAGGTGCCTCTGGTTGTTGGTTGAATGAGTGACCCAGCCCTCTCCCCTTTTCTCTCCCACAGAGAAGCTGAAAAAAACCAAAATCATCTTTGTGGTGGGTGAGTCGCAGGCGGGCGGGCGGCCTGGCTAGCCTGGAGGGTCTTCCCGGGTGCCCCCCTGGGCTCTGCCCCTCCCTTCCTGGGGATCCCTGGCAGCCCCTGTCCCTCCCAGGGCCCCACTTCTCAGGGTCCCTCAATAGGTGGGCACTTGCAGGTGGGCCTGGCTCGGGAAAGGGCACCCAGTGCGAGAAGATCGTGCAGAAGTATGGCTACACCCACCTCTGCTCCGGGGACCTGCTGCGCGCCGAGGTCAGCTC